GGGGGAGCAGCTGAATGTCTGGGTGACCAAAAAGCACCCCGCAAGCTCCACCTTCCACCCCGCTGAAGCTGGAATTGAGAGGGGGCCATTATTTTCAGTTAAGATGGTGTTTCTCATACTTGAGTTGTATGCAAATGGACTCCTTTTAAAGGAGAAGATACTACCACAGATCTCTAAGTATATGCCTGTGACCCAAGTTATAGAAACTTTAGGTTAAGAAACTAAAGTCTTAATCTAGGAAGCATCTTTCAGTTTTGAATTATCACTGCAAGAGTTAAGTCTTTAGGATGGGTAAAATAATTGTTTTTGAAATGAAAATTCACAATTTAAAAAAATTCTCTTGTCACTTCCAAAGTTCTGACAAAATCTCCTTGGATGTCCAGGTAAGGAAGTATAGCACTGAGTCATCGAATCTGTGAGAGAGAAAAATGAAGAAAAAGGACTTAATTGTGTGGAGCCTTAGGCTGACATCTATGCAGGAGGCCCTGGGGCAGCCAGCTCAGAAGTAGTCTCTAGGAGGCAGGTCTTCCAGAAAAGAAGTGTAGCAGATAGTGATCTGATGCTTGGCCTATGAAGAGAATTGTATTTGGAGACATTTTATTGATCATTTGGAACATTTGAGAAGAATTAGCAATAGGTACATAGCAAATAAAAAAGGCAGTTATAAATTTCAGGAAAAAAAAACATTGTACAGGAGAGGAAAGGTTATCATAGTATATAGTCTGGCTCAGTAGTAAGCAGCACTTCCATAGTCCTAATAATGTAAACATTGAAAGTTAATTTACAAAAACTGTGATGCAATGATATAGGATGGGAAAAATGAAAATGGGAAGGTTCTAAAGGTGCTAAATCTTTACGTAACATAATAGAAAGTCAATGTCTAAGATTGGGTTGGGCATAGTGGCTCATGCCTGTAACCCCAGCACTTTGAGAGGCTGAGGTAGGAAGATTGCTTTAGGCCAGGAGTTTGACACTGGCCCTGGCAACATATTGAGACCCTATCTTTACAAAAAAATTTAAAAATCAGCTGGGGATGGTGATGTGCGCCTGTAATCCCAGCTACGTGGGAGGCTGAGGTGGGAGGATTGCTTCAGCCCAAAGTTGGAGGTTACAGTGAGCTATGATTGTGCCACGGTGCTCCAGCCTGGGTAACAGAGCAAGACCCTCTTAAAAAAAAAAAAGTCTATGATTAATAAATCAAGGAACAGCTAAAAAGATGGAAAGTAGTTGCCTTTAGGGAATAGGACTGGAAGTAGGGAAGGGTAAGTTGAAACTGTTTTTCATTATAATCCTTTTAGTACTATTAGACTTTTAAAAGTCTTTATTACTTTGCCTATATACGTTGATAACAACAAAAAGACATAGCTACCCTCCATTTAATTCCACGTGAATCTGGTCAAATCTGAAGGCGCTCATGCATACATAACTTGGATGTAAGTCCTCAGAGGTTTGCAATGTTTGGAATGAGAACATTGTCCTCCATCATTAGTGACAATGACTCAGTGAGATGCTGAGAACTCAGCATCTGGCAATGGTTCTGAGTTCCCCCCACTAATCCAAATCCCATGAAATCATTAAAAACATACAAATGTAAGATAGGCTTTATTCAATTTCTCCCTAGGCCTTCTGCCAGATTCCCATCCTAGCTGCCTTGCCTAATGTGAATGTTCTAGCATGCAAATTCATAGTTATACTCTGGATGAAAGTGTTTGAACCACCAGGCAGCAAGAGTTGGAATAGCTCATTCATGCTGTGGAGGTGTGCTGAAGCCCACACCAGCCTGGAATGAATGGAGTCCCTTCTGCCATGAGCATGGCAGTCCCTGGCCTGTTTTGAGTCTAGGGCCCCAAGCCTTGCAACAGGGCCTATTCTCAGTCCAGTGTGGACTACTGGCTCACCTCCCCAGTTGAGAACCTGTGTGTCCACCTGCACAATGATAAAAATCTCTGCCCCTGTAATGCCAATTTCCCTGAAAATTGATTCCCTTTCAAAGAAACATGTCTATGTTCTAAATTAAAAGTTCTACATTAACTCCTGAGTTTTATGGATGAGGAGGGTGAGTTTTTTTTATTCCCTCACTGTACTCTCCAAATTCCTTAGCATGCTAGACAAATTCCACAGTGAATCTACAAGGAGACACCAGTGGAGAGAAAACCTTTATTTGCGTACTAATGAACATGGGTGAAGTAAGAAGAGGCATATGAGAATGAAATTAAGGTGGAAGAATCTCGGTGGAAGAAGAGAAGAAAGGGCGCTCTGGGAATCCAGGAGAGAGAGCAGAGGCACTCTCGGAGCCACAGTCCCTTGTTGGCATAGGGACTCTGCTCTCTCGTCACTCTCCCCTGGGACTTCTCTTTCCTTGGCTCATAGTCTCACTGCTGGTCCCTTTCCTTGTCTCACAGTCCTGGGGTGTTTCCTCCCCCAAATCCAATGGAGGAGCACAGCTTCATACCCAATATGCTGGGTAGCAACTACTCAGAAGCTGTTACTTGGATTTTTTGCACCTCTTAGTGATTTTGACACCCTTGGACTACCAGGAGTGGCCCCTCCTGCCACCAGAGGACTCTGGCTTTTCTAATAAGGAAGGTCCTGGCTAATCAGTCCCAGAAGGGCCTGGATTCTCTTCCAGGCTAGTGTCTCTGCAGAAATGCTCCTCGGGGTGGAAGGTGCTGCTGCAGCAGGGGATGTCACCTGAGTTTTCAGGTATGTAGTCTGTGGTGAGAGAAAGTAGGAGAAGAAAACTCAACCCTCTGCTTCTCCGAGGTGCAGGTCCTTAAGCCCCTCCCTAGCCATTTTGCTTCCAAAGCTAAAGGCCTCAACTAAAAGCCCTGCTCTGGTGGCATGCCTTCCTTCTTTCCCAGGCATAACAATTTCCCCCACCCCACCCCACCCCAGTTCTTAGACCAGCCCATTCCTCCAGCCTTACCTGTGGCTGAAGCAGAAGGTGAACATTCCTCACACTCCCATTTCTTACTGTTGGATCTAAGAGAGGAGCAGTCCCTGTGGGTTCCATGGGATCCGCATGTAGCACACAGAATGAGGCGCCACCTCCTGCAGGAAGAGCCAAGGAAGGGTTGTGGGGACAAATAGAACACTACCATTCTTGGATGTTTGCTATGGGCCAGCCGTAGCTGTGCTGAGGGCTTCCCAGGCATTTTTTACTATACATTTTACTCATCAAGGATGCATGGCTCAGAGAGGCTGAGTGCTGATCCTTGGAGCATGCAGTCAGGCACAGCCCCTCACAGGGTGGATTTAGAAAGGAATTGGCCCTGAGTCTCTCTCCACTGAGCACAAGGAGAAGCAGACCCTGCAGAGGATACCTGTTCTCTTGCACATGAGTGAGTCAGGGGCTAGTCAAGACAGAGAATTAGCAATTGTGTTCACCCTCAGGTCTGTAGACAAGAGTGAATTTCTTGCTCCTAACACCTGTGCCAAGGTCTAACTCTAAGATGGTCCTGACAAGATCTTTTTATAGCCAGAAGCTTTTCCCTACCCTTCATCCTCAAAGCTGTCTCGGCCGTGTTCGTACAGACAGGTGGGGGCATCACAATGCTGATAGCGCTGATACAATTCTGAGAAAGCCCCTGGCTCGAGTTCCCAGGCAGCATCTCTGCAATGGGAGAAGAAACAGTGAGTAAGGGACACATAATTGGTTGCTGAAACCTTTCTCCATCAAGGAAGAACTAGGAAAACCCAAGTTAAGCACAGCAAGAGTTCAACAGGCTGCCTCAACACTTCCAACAAGGCTGGGCGAGTGGGCTGGCAGTGGGAAAGGGTTGAAGCAGGATGAGTAAAACATGAGAGTTCTTTAGTTCTACTCTGGAATTTAAGAAACCAACCCTCCAGGGAATTCTCATCCCCAAAATGCCCTTCTCAGAAACATGTCCCCCCCAACTTTTTCTCCCTCTTTTCATTTGACAATTAAAAAGCACTCCCTCCACCCCTTCCCTCTTCTGCTCTCATTCTCTGAACTATCCTTTCACTCACCTCCTCTCTAGAAATCTAGGCAACCCACTCCCTGGCTCAATTCTTGCTTTAGGGTTTCCACTACCTGTCTGGAATGTGAATTCCCATTCTTAGCATTTCTTGAGGAAACTCTTCTCGATTGTTACACTGTGGACATTTGAAGAAATGCTTTGCTGATGTGTGGGCATATTTCTGTAAGGGAAACATGGAAAAGCTCTGTGTTTGTAAAAACACTTTGACCACTTTCTTTCCAATCCCACCCTCACCCCATAAAGAGGATGTTGCTAAGAGAGCTTGACAGGGGGTGTAGGAAAAGGAGTTTGGTGGGCTAGGGTAAGGGCTGCAAATCCAGGTGTCAGACCTGGGGCCAAAATATTTTCAAGAGAGTTCCCAGAAGTGCCTCAGCTGTCATCTCTGACCATGGGGCTTGGCAGTGCTAAGTAGGGGTCAGGAACCTGGCCACATGTTTCCCTTTTCTTTCATCCCAAGAAGTGAGGCTGATTTTGAGGTTCCTTGACTCATTTTGGGATGAGTCCATTCGCTCTAGCAATCCTGAGGATTTGGCTCAGTCTAAATCTTATCACAAATGAGGTCCTGTTGGTTGTGGTGGCTCACACCTGTAATCTCAGCACTTTGGAAGGCAAGGACAGAAGGATCACTTGAGGCCAGGAGTTTCAGATTAGCCTGGGCAACATAGTGAGACTCCATCTCTACACCTGTAGTCCCAGCTACTGAGGAGGATGAGGCAGGAGAATCCCTTGAACCCAGGAGTTTGAGGCTGCAGTGAGCTATGATTGAACCACTGCACTCTAGCCTCAGCAATAGAGACCCTGTCTCTAAAATAATAATAATAATAATAAATAAAAAAATAAAAATAAAATGAATGAGGTCCTATAGGCCAAGGATGACCAGACTGGGCCACCTTTCCTTGAACAGGCCTCCAGCATGGAATGCCAAAGCTGATATGTACCCCAGCATTCCCAGGGTGTTGTAGTTCCAGGCAGAGAATTAGGGCAATTGTGGAAGGTCCCCAGAGCAGAGAAGCCCCACCTGTATGCACTTGCGGTGGTAGACAGCTTGACTACAACATGGGCTCTGGATGTTCTCAACACTCGCTTGGGATAAATCTTCACAACACAAGACGCAGCTTTCCTCCCTCACGTTCCCCTCTTGGATGTCCTGTTTTGGGCGATGTTTTCCACAAAATGATCTGTGGCAGGTAAACAGACTTGGTTTCTGGTTTGTCATTAATGCAGTTTTCCAGCTGCCTGGTCTAGGAAGGGCAATGAGCATCCAGGCTGGTGCCCAGTGAACCTCCACACTCATGGGAAGGAGAAGCAGAATGAAGAACAGCCACATGCCTTCTCATGGCTGCTCTCCCACTGAGCAAAGCTCCCAGGACTGTATCCACAGCCTCTTGTTCCTGAAAGCCCCACTTAGTTCTGAGCAGCTGTCTACAAACCCCAGCTGTTTGTAATTTAAGGCGGGGTTGGAAAGCAAGAAGAAACCCCTGTGAAATCACCAAGTCAAGAGACTGTTTCCCATGGTTGAATGGAGGGACAGATTCACTGGTGAATTGAAACAGGCCTGTGAGAACCAGACTCTGATGTCGTTAGCGGCTAAATAGTAAGTTTCAAAAGGGCAGCTAAACATTTCCCCTTCCTCACTTACTTGTACTCTCCAAAAAATTGTGAAAGGCAACCCCTTTCTTGGCCACAAGGCAGATGGAAGTTTCTGACGCACTGATCCTTCTGGCAGTTGATAGCAGCTCCCTTTTTCTTGCACACAAAGCAGATCTGCAAATGAGATCCTATATGGTGCTCAGGGCCCTCCCAAAGACAGACACGGTGTGGCACATCTTTCTATGAAATGGAAATCATGTGAAGCAACAGCCATTCCCTTTTCTCAGTGGTCCTGAAAGCTCCGGGGCACCCTGAAACTGAGCTTTAAGCAGCACTAAATTCTTTTTTGTTTTCTCAGGATATTTCTCCTTCTCCTCACTTAGGACACTGCACTCCAGAGGAATTATGACCTGAGAGAAGGACCAGTTGGGAAATCTAAGCGTCCTTTTACTTCTGAGCTAGCAACTAGGGAAAAGAACAGAAACAGGGATGAGAGAGGTATGAGAAGAGGCCTACCCCAAGGTCCCCATTTCAGGGGATTCTAACCTTCCTAGATGCACGAGCTGCCTCCTTTTTGATGTCTTCAGGCAGGAATCCATGCAAACCTCTGTTGGACTGGCCCCTCTGAGGCAGCTTGCTAGATAGGATCTGGAGGGCAGCAGAACCAGACTGTCAACATCAATGGTCAGTGAAACAGCGCAGTGGTGTGAGGAGGATGACAGGGTAAGAGAGCTAAGGCATAGAGCCTGGTGGAATATATATCATTTGCAGGGTACTTTATTTAATGAGGGCTTATCTAGCACTAACTATTAAATACTTAATATGTGTGGGTACTCTAAGCGCTTTTCAAATATTAACTCATCGAATCCTCCTAACAACACTAGGAGGTAGGTACTATTAGCATCCTCATTTTCTCAGAGAGATGATGTGACTTGCTCAACCAGGGGTGGGGAACCTGCAGCCTTGGGGCCACACGAGGCCTTCTGGATCCTTGAGGGTGGCCTTTTGACTGAATCCAAATTTTACAGAACAGATCCTTTTAATAAAGGGATTAGTTCTGTGAAGTTTGGATTCAGTCGAGGGGGCCGCACTTGGGGATCGGGAGGGCCACATGTGGCCTTGAGGCCGCAGGTTCCCCACTCCACTCACCTTCATGTTATGCTGCCTCTCATTCACTGAGGGCTGCTATTGTGTGCTGAGCACTTTGCGGAAACACTCCCTCTGTAATGACTCATTTTATGCTCACCACAACCCTATGATATGGATGCTGTAGTGATCCTCATAGAGGAGGCCACTACGTACAGTGTGGTAAGTGACATGGCTGGGGTGACACGGCAAGGAGGAGAACTGGCATTCACACCTGGGCCCATGGAACCCACGCTCTTACCCTTCCTGCTGTGTTGTCCCCCAGTACAGAATAAATACTCTTCTCAGAGTACTACAGGAAGGAAAACAGTGTTTTAAAATCTCCTGACTATAGTCATTCTGCATTATAGGCAAAAGGAAGGAATTGGATTTTTCTTTCAAAAACACATTTTAAAGGGCCTTTTGTGTCTGAAAAGCTCCCAAAGCAGAATCTGGATGGGAAATCAAGGAAAAAGAAGCTAAACCATTCTGTTACATACATTGGGAAAATGTTAGCACCCCACCCCCACCCCAAGAATCTTCCAGAAATCCTGGGAAGGGTGCTAGACTTCCCGCAGTAATTACATGAAATGCTTAAGGGGAGTTCAGGTTATTTTATTTTAACATTGTGAAAAAGGTGACCTTACAACATTAAATGACTTGCAGGCACTTGGATTACAGCTGCATGTTCCCAATTATGGTTAAAACATATGTGATACATATTTTAACACTAATTATTTCAGGATTTCAGGATAATATGAGTTATTTCTGTTTTCTTTATACTTTTAAGTATCATTCATGTTTTCTACAATGAGCACATGTTATCTCTATAAATAGAAAAATCAATAGTGAAAGATCATAAACAATTTAAATGTCCTTTAATAGGGGTTTGTTTTGATACTTTCAGGCACACCCATACCATGAAATACCAATTAGCTACTAAAAAGAAAAAACTAGGCCGGGCGCGGTGGCTCACGTCTGTAATCATAGCACTCTGGGAGGCCGAGGCAGGAGGATTGCTCAAGGTCAGGAGTTCAAGACCAGCCTGAGCAAGAGTGAAACCCCATCTCTACTAAAAATAGAAAGAAATTAGCTGGACAACTAAAAATATATAGGAAAAAAATTAGCCGGGCATGGTGGCATATGCCTGTAGTCCCAGCTACTCCGGGGGCGGAGGCAGAAGGATCGCTCGAGCCCAGGAGTTTGAGGTTGCTGTGAGCTAGGCTGACACCACAGCACTCTAGCCCAGGCAACAGAGCAAGATTCTATCTCAAAAAAAAGAAAAGAAAAAACTAGATCTATATGTTCTATATGGAAAGATCTCCAAAATATATGAGATGAAAAAAAACAAGATACAAAACATTGTGTATCATATGTTTATTTTTATGTTCAAAATGTATATGTTTGTGAGTGCATCAAAATTAACCAAGCCCTGACACCTGACAGTACTTACAAGAAAGGAAAATCACAGACCAAGCTTTCTTATAAGCATAGATGTAAAAATCAAACAAAATATTATCAAACTGAATCTGGCACCATATAAAAAGGATAATACATCATGACCAAGTAGGGTTTATACCAGGAATGCAAGATTAATTTAACATTAAAGAATCTAGTTGATATAACAAACCACATTAACAAAATAAAGGAAAAATCAAGATCATCTCAACAAATGCAGAAAAAGTATTTGACAAAATTCAGCACACATTCATGATACCCTCGGTAAACTAGGAATAAAAGGGAACTTCAATTTGATAAAAACATCTATGAACAAAACCTACAGCTAACATATTTTAATAGTGAAAAACTAGATGCTGTCCCAGATGCTGGGAAAAAGACAAGGATAACAACTCACAGTACTTCTATTCAACATTATGTTGAAGGTCCTAGTCAGTACAATAAGGCAAGAAGAAGTAAAAGGCAAAGATTGGAAAGGAAGAAGAAGAACTGTCTTTATTCACATATGGCATGATCATGTACACCAGGAATCCTACGGCATTTATAACAAAATGTAAAAAAATAAAAACTACTGAGCTAATAAGTGAATTTAACAGGATTACAGGATACAAAATCAATATACAAAAATAAAATGTATTTCTACATACCAGTAAACTTGAAAATAAAATAAAAATACCATTTACAATAGCATAACCACAAAATATTTAGGAATACATTTAAAAAAATATATGCAAGACTTCTTCACTAAAACTACAAAACATTGCTGAGATAAATTTTAAAGATCCAAATAAATGGAGAAACATACTACATCCATGGATCGAAAGATTCAATATTATTTATCAATTCTTCCCAAATTGACCTATACATTCAATGCAATTTCAATCACAATCTCAGCAGGCTTTTTTTTTTTTTTAAGAAAACTTGACAAGTTTAATATAAAATTCATAAAGAAAAAGAAAGGACCTAACAGCCAAAACAATCTTGGAAAAGATTGTATAACTTATAATACTTAATTTCAAGACACTATAAAGCCACAAAAATAAAGACAGTGGGCTATTGGCATAAGGATAGACACACAGATCAATGACATAAATAGATCATCCAGATCCACGGATATATGATCAATTGATTTTGACAAAGGCACCCAGGTAATTCAGTGGGTAGACAAAGATTTCTTTGGGACATATAAGAAGCACTAATCATAGAAGAAAAAAATTGATAGATCGACCTCATTAAAATTAAAAACTTGTTCTTCAAAAGACACTATTAAAAAAATGAAAAGGCAAGCCACAGACTAGGAAGAAAATCATCACAATACATATATCTGAAAAATAATTTGTATCCAGAATATATTATATAAATAATTCTTACAACTCAATAATAAAACCCAATTTTTAAAATGGACAAAAAGATTTGTACAGATACTTCACAAAAGAAAACATGTGAATGGCCACTAAGCACATGAAAAGAAGCTCAACATTTTTAGTCATCAGAAAAATGCAAATTAAGGCCACAATAAGACACTAAATACACACCAAGCAGAATGGCTAAAATTAAAAAGACTGACGATACCAAGTTTTGGCAACAATACCGTGCAACTTTCAGATATTTCTTGTGGGAGTGTAAACTGGTACGATTACTTTGGCAAGTGACTTGGCAACCTCACATAAAGTTAAACATCTAGTTAGCAAACAGCCAGTAACCCCACTCCAAGGTATTTGCCCAAGAGAAGTGGGAATACATGTTCACAAAAAGATGAATCCTTATAGCAGCTTTATTCATAATAGTCCCAAAATGGAAACAATTCAAATGTCCATCAACAGGTGAATAGATATGCAAATTATAACATACTTGTACAGCAGAATACTACTAGGCAATAAAAAGGTACAAGCCACAGTACAGATGCATGCAACAACATGGATGAATCTCTAAAACATTGTGTTGGGAGAAAAAAGCAGATGCAAAAGCATATATACTGTATGATTCCATTCATATGAAGTAACAGAACAGGCAAAAATAATGTATAGATCAGAACAATGATTATCTCTGGTCGGACTGACTGGAAGGGGGCAGGAGGGAACTTTCTAGGATGATGAAAATGTTATTTATTTTGATTGTTACATGGGGTTACATGGGGATATACATTTATCAAAACTCATCAAACAGTACACTTAAAATTGGTACATTTTATAGTACGTAAATTTTACCTAATGAAAAAGAATATCGGGAAAAAATAACTGGAAGGACATTTCAACTGTCGTCAGCATTTGTTTCTGGGGAGAGGGAGGATTGGGAATATTATTTTGGGAAAAGATCTTTTACTGTACATACTTTATACTGTCATATTTTATACCAGGAACATATATTATTTTGTTAAAAATAGATTTTAAGAGAAAAAAGCTATTAAGAAAAATAAACAAACAGGGCTGTGGAACTGAGGGACTGGATGCAAAGATAGAGAACAGTCTGCATATCAAAGCCATAGAACTTTCAAAGCAAAGGAGGCCTTATACTCACAAGACAAAAATAATGCACGCTGAGATTGTCTTTCTGAAGAAATTCCCCTAATTTTTCAGGATCCCCAGGTTCTTGAAGGCATAGCCGGCAAACTACAAGCGAGAACATTATGAATTAATTATAGGTTTGGCTCAAGCTGACCATTAAGAACGGAAGAGAAGCGTGGGAATATGACCATTTCTCTACGTACAGGAAGGAGTACTGAGAAAAGGGTCATTTTGGCAAGGAGGAAGGTTGTCTAATTTGGTATCAGTTAAGCTGTTATATAATTTTCGTCACATTGAAGGAGCTGGATGCAACTGCTCACTTCATATTTTTTTGGCTCAGATGACTTTAATTGTTTCTTGAACTTTAGACATGAAATTTTAAAATTACACACCCTAAGTCTTCTGGATCTTAGAGAATATGGGAAGGAAGTAAGGTTGACAGTGAGAGAAGTTTATTGCCCCACACAAATGGCCTTCTTTGCTGAGGTCTTGAGGCAGTGGCTGAATACAACTGCCATTCTTTCTTACCAGGTCCTGAAGATGGCTTCCTCTGGGTTATCCTCCTTGTCTTGGCAGATTTTCTATACAAGAGAAAGAAGTGTAAGGTGGTCTTCGAGGACCCTGTCAATAACCCTTGCAACATTTCCCTTAAAAAGCCATTCATGGGTTTGATGAAGGCCCAAAATATCTAAAGGCTAAGACATGAGTTTCTTTTCATATTTGATACATTTTTTTCAAAATGGAGATGGCATCTTGCTATGTCACCCAGGTTGGTCTCAAACTCTTGGCCTCAAGTGATCCTTCATCTTGGCCTCCCAAAGTACTGGGAATATAGGCGTGAGCCACAGCACCCAGCCCATATTTCATATTTTTTTGAAAGCACAAAACATACCTACTGAGTTATTCGAGGGTAGGGAGAAGATTGTAACCATCTTTCTGTCCCCAGTGCCTGTACTGCCTGTATCGACAGCATGAATGCAAGAGCAAACCCTCTTTCACTTTTTTCCTGTTTCTTCCACCAACTATCTGAATCTCAAGTAGTACCACCTTCACAAAACATACTAAAATGATACCAAAAACACGTGAGCATTTCCCATTGCTAGGCACTATTCTTGACACTTTATATGTATTAGCTCAATGAATCTATGGCAGCTCAATGAATCTACAGAACAATCTAAAAGGTGGGTGCTATTATTATGCACATTTTCCAGACGAGGATACTAAAGCATAAAGAAATGAAGTGACTTGTCCCCTGTCCCATAGTTAGCAAGTGACAGAGCCAGGACATGAATCCAAGTAGTAAGGTTCCACAGCCAGCATTTTGCTACTAGGGACAGCCCTAGGAAGACAGGTTGGGCAGCTTCCAGGAGACCACTGGTGTGTGCTTCCACACTGTCCAACCCCAGCCCACAAGACGATGCCAAAGGGAGCAAAAAGTGCAGAATATACCATAAACCATTGGACAATTTCTCCTAAACACCATCGTATCACCTACTCTACCTTGATCTTTGGCGTTCCTTCGTCTTTTCTTTTATAGTCTTCATTCGCTGCTATCTCTTTCTCTTATCTTGAATTCTTCTGTACTATTATGAGGACAACACAGGCTCTTCCAGCTATAAATATAAACAGGGCTTGGTCAGTAATTTAATTCTACATTTGCTTATCAAGTTCCACAGGGTCAAGGCAATGGTACAGTTCACGTCCCGACCTACATGATGGAATAAAAGGGACACATCCACTATCAATGCTAGTAATAGCCAATAATTATTAAATCATGCCAAGTACTACTCTAAGCACTTTACATGTGTTAACTCATAAAAACCCCATGTAGTAGGTGCCATTATTATCCCCATTTTCAAGATGATGAGACTGAGGCACAGAGAGGTAAGCGTCTTGCCCAAGGTCAGAGTTAGTAAGCCATATAGGTGGGATCTGAATGTGGCTCCAGAGGCCAACATTAACTCTCATGTTACACTGCTATCACACAGTACTATAAGAACTTAGGAACACTTTTGAGCTAGCTAAATTGTTTTGTTTCTTTGTGCCTATTAAGTGCACAAGGTAGCATTCAGGCAAAAAGTTTCCTTTTGCACTTAAGCATGGGTGCCTTAATTCTACCCAGGAAAAGCTAGATAAGGTAGCTCTTTCCTAGGAAAAGTTGCCTGTGAGATTTTGGCTGCCTAAAAGCAAGAACTCCCTCTAGTTAGAGAACTGAGTACAATATCTAATAGCAGAGAAAGCACCTTGCCACTCCTCCAGCCACCAATGTCAGCAGACTACAAATTTACAAAGTTTCCATTGGTTAAGCGGGAAATCCCTGAAAGTGAAGAGGGACAAAAGAAATAAGATCCATCCCTATGAAGGAAGGACTGTGTCTAGTCAGGGGAGGTGAGAAGGACCGCATTTCTTAGGAAAGCTGGATGAATCAGGTCACTCCAGAGACATGAACTCCAGTCCCCACGGCCTTGGATCATGGCTGGAGATTGGAAATATCTTCAGGGATTTTCAAAACCATTCTGCCTGAATACAACTACCAAGGCAATTAGCTGCTCAGAAAACCAAAGCTATCTTGCCCTCCCTTTCTTTGCTCGCAATCCATCTCTTCTAACCCATGAGTTGCAGCTGCAGAAGTAATGACATTTGATGGTTTCTTCCTCAACAAAAGCACATGGACAGGCTGGAAGAGGAGAGAGAAGGGCGTGCCTTGACCTTGCTACTCCCACAAGGGATCCACATTAGGGACTGCTGGGGCTACCCCAACCATCTAGCAATAGAAATAAAACCTTGAAACTTCAGTTCTTTGCATCGCTGGGCCAAGACGTTCCTTGAGTAGGATTCTGTGCACACTGGTAGTTACAAGATGCAACAATCTTCAACACGCGTGAGGAGGGATGTTGCAAACGCGGGCTTCCACAAGCTGCTCAGTCTGTGATTTCCTAAGCCGGCGGATGCTCCTCGAAACGCTTACCAAGGATTTTCTCCGGATAAGTGCTAGGTAAATGCTTGTTGAGAAAATTAAAAATAAATAAACGTATTCGGCCCCGCCGCCGCAAGAATAAACAACGATTTATTTGGAAAATACGTGTCGGTGTGGCCACAACCGTCCCCTGGAGGTAAAAGCCGGAGAAGGGGATCAAGGAGCATCCCGCGGGTGCCAGACCAGGCTCATGTCGCGCCTGCCGGGTGGCTGGTGCGGGGCCGGGGCCGGAGGTCGCCTCCGCCGCTCCCTCCTCACGGTAGCTCGCCGGCCGTCGCTGCCGGCCCGGGCCGCCCGCCCAGCTGTCACTGAGGGCGCCGCTGTTCCGGAGCTTTATTCACAAGCCGTGGTAGCTACCTCACGGGCGGCCGCCCCGTGCGGTGACTGCGCCGGCGAAGGGGGCGAGCGCGCAAACGGGAGCCGGGTCGCTCGGACTGTGATCCGCGCGGGCAGCTGCAACGCCGACCGTTGCCAGAACAGAACCGCTAACGGCCACGCGCTAACGGCCGCGCGCCCGGCCCGCCCCGCCCCTTGCGCTCTTGCTCTCACTGTCCAACACCGCCCAGCCCCTTCCCCTCGCCAGCCCCGCCCCTTCATCTCGCCCCTCCTCCCCCGCGCGCGCCCGCCCCCGAGCGCGTGCCCGCAACCCCACCGGCCGAAGACGAGCCCAGAGGCGGGGCGGGGCCGTCGCGCCATAGTGACGTCATGCCGCCGGCGCGGGCGGGTGACGCAGCGGGGCCCGTTGTCTGTGTGTGGGGCTGAGGGGCCCCGGGGGCGGTGGGGGCTCCCGGTGGGGGCGGCGGTGGGGCGGAAGGGCCTGGACATGGCGCTGAGGGGTCGCCCCACGGGAAGATGAATAAGGGCTGGCTGGAGCTGGAGAGCGACCCGGGTGAGGAGGGGGCCGGGCGGGCCGGGGACTGGGGAGGCCGGATAGGCCCGGGACACGTCTGCCTGACCATCACCCCCTCGTCTTGTCGCCCCACCCAGGCCTCTTCACCCTCCTGGTGGAAGATTTTGGTAAGAACCTCTTCTGGGTTTGTGGGAGCCCACCCCTGCGCCCTCGCTCCAGGGCCTGGGGCTGCCCTTCCCGACCGCTTTCCTTTCCTGATTGTAGGTGTCAAAGGGGTGCAGGTGGAGGAGATCTATGACCTTCAGAGCAAATGCCAGGGGTGAGTGGCCGTTCGCCAGGGCCTCCCCTTACACCCAGAGGGCTTGGGAAGGGCCCAGGAAAGAGTGCCCGTCAAGGGAGGTAATATCAGGAACCCCAAGTTGTAAAATCTCACATCAAGAAGAATTCCCTCCTCTCTGGGTCAAGCTAATATCTTTTTCTCTCAGTCTTCCCTCAGTGCTTTCCTTTATTGTAGTAGCCTCTTCCCCAGCACTAACCATCCTTTGGGATACAGTTGAGCTGCCTTTTCTGATCTTGCAGGAATCCCCTTGCAGCAGGAAGACCCGGGTCACATAGCGCCTTTTGTGCAGTTGTGTAATTTATTTATTAACTACATACAGTGTGCTCGTGTGTGCCGTTGCTTTAATCCTGACACAAAGGTCTTCCTGTATTGATGGGTTGGCGTGACAGGGCCCCTTCTGAATACCCAAACTTAGGGTCTTGCCTTCGTGGCCCCATGGAATAGAGGTATAGAGAGACTGCTGAACCAAGAGACACTGACTGAACCAAGAAGTCTGCTTTAATTTCCTGGGAAAGAAGGGACTGGTGTGGTTGTTCATTTGTTTTCCTGACTGCATTGGGGCCCACAAGTGAGAATTAGTGTTTAAATTCCTCATCAGAGTTTTTGTTCTTGCCTTATTTTGTGTTCCTACCCTGTCCCATCCTGGCCCATCACTTCCAACTTTTCTTACCCAGAACCATAGACTTCATAAGGAGACTGGACGGACTCCTAGAGCACCACAGCCAGAAGCTGATGCCTTAGCCTGTGGCAGGCCTCTGGGGTGTGAGGGCACAGGGCTACTTCCAGTGTTGGAAAGCCAGGGGAGAGGTGGGATCACAGCAAGGACATCTGAGCTGGTGACACAGTGCAAAGGAATAGGAGGAGAAACAAGGGGTTTCTGATTGCCTTTTGCCCCTTGGCTGATCTAGTTCTTCCTCTTATTTCCCCCAGCCCTGTATATGGATTCATCTTCCTGTTCAAATGGATCGAAGAGCGCCGGTCCCGTCGCAAGGTCTCTACCTTGGTGGATGATACATCTGTGATTGATGACGATATTGTGAATAACATGTTCTTTGCTCACCAGGTCTGCTGGGCTCTGTGCTCCGTCTGGAGGGTGGGATGCTGCCATTTTCTTTGCTTGGGAAGTGGAAGGGGAGGAAGACAGGAGATAGGCAGATACTAGGGGTGGTGGTTACAGAAACCCCCTGGTAGAAGGAACTGAGCTCTTATTCATTAAAGGCAGCATCTTTAGAGCATGATGATGTCTGATATGGCTCTGTGTCCCCAGATAGCTGGTGAATATTTAGTTGGTGCTTGTTAAATGAGGAAACACTGGACAAAGATGAGGGGAGCTGATGAGGGTGGTTGTCTAGGTTTGACTGTCCCTTTCTGGATCCCCATTCCTGATGAATATGGGCTTGGGGGAGCTTGGGGTGAGGGGTGCTTGTGTATTGGTGACTGTTCTCGGTTTCACAGCTGATACCCAACTCTTGCGCCACTCACGCCTTGCTGAGTGTACTCCTGAACTGCAGCAATGTGGACCTGGGGCCCACCCTGAGTCGCATGAAGGACTTCACCAAAGGCTTCAGCCCTGAGGTAGGTAGGCTGCAGTGCCTTAATCCTGGCTCACAGCTGGCTGGGCAGATCTGACCCCCAGGGCCACTGGTAATGCCACCATGTGGTATTTGGCACTATTAGGCTGTTTCCTTTTGAAATGATCATTTATATTACATTTGATGTTTAAATTAATTATGTAAGGCAAATTGGTTTTAGGCCCAATTATCAGGAAAGGAGACAGACTGAGGGAGGGAAGAGAGTTTCCTTCAGTCATATCATATCAGAACCTCCTTTGTCAGGAATTTTTCTATCAGGTCATGTTGCTCTCCAGTGTCCACTGATTATTTGCAAAGCCAGCAGTGGCCATCTCTTTGGGGCTCCAGAGCTCTTTTCTGCCCGCCTTAACACTTTAGGAAAGTTCATCTGTGCTCCTTTAGATTCCTGGAATGCCTCCAGACCTGCTCTCTAGAGCTTTGCCTTCCACCCAGAGGCCCACTTGAGGAGAAATTGTTCTGATGTGGCCTTTTCTTCCATCTAGAGCAAAGGATATGCAATTGGCAATGCCCCGGAGTTGGCCAAGGCACACAATAGCCATGCCAGGTGTGTGGTTGCTGTGGGAGCTGATGTGGGGTGAGGGTGGAGGGAGTGTCATATTTTGGGCCCTGACCATGTCCTTCCCCAGGCCTGAGCCGCGCCACCTTCCTGAAAAGCAGAACGGCCTTAGTGCAGTGCGGACCATGGAGGCGTTCCACTTTGTCAGCTATGTGCCTATCACAGGCCGGCTCTTTGAGTTGGATGGGCTGAAGGTCTACCCCATTGACCATGGTAGGCACCCTGAGCTGGGGGCCTGTTTCTCTGCTTGCCTCCTGGGGAGCTGAAGCTCAGGGCCCTCAGGTGCTTGGGTTCCAGTGGTAGAGGGTATGGGCACTGAGGACATCTGACTGTGGTCTGGATTTTACCCTATACTGCATTGCTTGACCAGCTCCTGACTCCCTGGCTCAACTGCTCTTGTCTATCTTCCCTCTCACTCCTGGCCTGCCCAAACTCAGGTTTCACACCTGCTGATTAATTGTCTTGGTCTTGCCTAGGGCCCTGGGGGGAGGATGAGGAGTGGACAGACAAGGCCCGGCGGGTCATCATGGAGCGTATCGGCCTCGCCACTGCAGGGTAAGGGCCCTGCGCTTGCCCTGCTTTACCCTCTGGAGCTGTGCCCTGTTTGAGAGGGACATAGAGAGGCCAGGTGATTTGTAAATCACAAGGCCACATGTGAATCTGGCAAGATCAGGCTTAGATCGTGGGCTCTTAACTCTTCTCCCTATTTCCTACTGGGGCTGCCCATGGCCCCCCCTGGATGGGCTAGGGGCAGGGCAGGCCATGGTGGAGCCCTGGGTGGCTGGCTCACTGCCTGACAGGTCTGTCATACAGCTGGTTGGAAGGAACCAGCTCAGGTGGCTGGCATACGTGGCCAGTGGCTGCCTGCCTGTTGGGGTAGGGCCTATACCTATGGCTACAGGTGTAACTGCAGGGAGCCCTGCCAGGATATCTGCCTCAACCTGATGGCAGGGCCAGAGCGGGAGCTGCTCTCATGGCTGCGGCTGTGACTGCAGGGAGCCCTACCACGACATCCGCTTCAACCTGATGGCAGTGGTGCCCGACCGCAGGATCAAGTACGAGGCCAGGCTGCACGTGCTGAAGGTGAACCGTCAGACAGTACTGGAGGCCCTGCAGCAGGTGGGTTCCCCTCCTGCCTGGCCCGTGCCCAGCATAGCCCTCCCTGCCTTTTCTCCACTGCAGCATCCAGCTCTGATTCTCAGATCACACTATTGTAGTTCTGGGCTTCAGTTAACCCTTCCTTTCCCTTGCTCCTCTGTAGGAAAGATGGGACTTGGGGTGGGGAGGGGGTAACTTCTAAGGGGGTTTCAGTTTGGCTGTTTATTTCCCTGTAAGTAAGTGAATGGTAGAGCCAAGGCCACTATGCCCTTTAGTCCTGCAGCCCTCAGCTGTCTGAGGTAGAGGCCTGGGTCTATCCTTCCTCTAAGCCTTGGATTCTGTTTTTAGCTGATTAGGGTAACACAGCCAGAGCTGATTCAGACCCACAAGTCTCAAGAGTCACAGCTGCCTGAGGAGTCCAAGCCAGCCAGCAGCAAGTCGCCCCTGGTGCTGGAGACAAGCAGAGCCCCAGTGGCCTCTGAGGGCACCCACACAGGTACTGTGGGGATTGGGGCCTCTCATGGGCCTCAGAGCCACCCCCTCATAGCTTGTCCTGGGAAGCCCAAGCAGAGCAGGTCTTTTTCTAGGAGGTACTTGGGCAGCAGTGCAGAGGCTCCTATAGGGAGGCCTGAAAGCCCGGTGCCTGCAGCTCTCCCCGCTGAGAACATAGAGGGAGAACAGTTCTTCCCTAAAGAAAGGTACCTGTAAGGGGCTGCCGTTACCACTGGCCCTATACCCTTCTCCATAATGTACACTTTCTTTCTTGTTTTCTCTAGAGGCCATTTTCTTTCTTCCTCCCTCTATTTTTTGCATCTCATTCTTCTTCCAGTCTTGCTGTAGGGTCATGTCTCAGAGCTTGCTGGCTCCCATTCCACCAGCTGGCTTGGCTGCTTTCTGGGGAGGGAGGGGAGCAGTGTTGTGTCACAGGACTGGGGAGACTGTGGGCTTTTCTTGTGGATCCTGCTGAAGGTCCTGCCTATGCTCCTTGCCTTGTCTCAGATGGTGCGGAGGAAGTGGCTGGTTCATGCGCACAAGCCCCGACCCACAGTCCTCCCAGCAAACCCAAGCTGGTGGTGAAGCCTCCAGGGAGTGGCCTGAATGGGGTTCCCCCCACTCCCACCCCCATTGTCCAGTGGCTCCCGGCCTTTCTAGACAATCACAACTATGCCAAGTCACCTATGCAGGTAAGTGGGAGCACCCTTGCGGGATTCTCTGTGATTCTCTTGAGAGGCTGTAATAGGCAGTTTCCCATGTGGTTCCTTGGTGTTCGCCCTCGCCCTAGGCCTGGGTTGCCAGGTTCCTTTGTCTGATACACAGAGGCCCCCACAACAGCAGGGGCTTAGGGAGGCAAGGAGAGCTCCTCCAACTTTAATCTAGTCACATGGGTGTGGGGTTAAACGTTTAGGGCATGCTCCTTGGTACAACTCTACAGGTTGGGTTCTGCTAGCAAAATAACGGCATGTGTTTTGGGGCACTCTCTTTCTCTTAGCAGCTCTCTGTAGGCTTCTATGCAGGTGGGACACAGCTTCCCCAAGAGCCAAGGGTAGGCTCTGGTACACCTGGAGGGGCTCAGCTGACTCAGCCTGGAGAGCCACATTGGCTTTCTCTCTGGCCACGTGTATCTGTGCCCAGCTGGGTTGCGCAGCCTCTGCTCATGACTGCCTGGTCTCTGCCTCAGGAGGAGGAAGACCTGGCAGCTGGTGTGGGCCGCAGCCGAGTTCCAGTCCGCCCACCCCAGCAGTACTCAGATGACGAGGATGACTACGAGGATGACGAGGAGGATGACGTGCAAAATACCAACTCTGCCATCAGGTCAGCCCCGGCCTTGTAAGGCTACCAGGTTCTGGGTGCGTTGGGTCCTATTCTGAATATCCCAGCCCATGTCTGAGAATGCCCTTCATGTAATGCTGAGCACCTGCAGAGTGTAGGGCCCTGGGGGAAGCTGGCATGAAGGGGCTGACCTCAGGTCTCCAAAAGGTTTTTGGTGGGCTTGGGAGAGGCCTGAGCACATAAGCACACATCAAGGCATGTCATGTCGGAGATGGCCTTTCAGTCAGGCCTTGAAGGATTAGTTGGGGCAGGGATGGAGGAGATATGTATGGGTGGGTGAGGGCAACTTTGCTGGAACACACAGCATTGGCAAAAGGCCAGAAATGAGGCAGCTAGGATAGAGGAGGTGTCCTTTGAGGACACCTCGCTGCAGCTGATAGAGCTTAGGGTACCAGGCTTGGCATGGGTGGGTCAAACTGCTGGACCAAGTACAAGGAGCTTTAGGGTCAGCCTCTGGAAGTCAGGATGTGTTGAAACCATTCTGGGCACTGCTAGGTGTGGTCACCTGGGCCGTTCTCTTGCTCCACCTGTTCTTGGGCCCCACAGGTATAAGCGGAAGGGGACAGGGAAGCCAGGGTCCTTGAGTGGTTCCGCAGATGGGCAGCTGTCAGTGCTGCAGCCCAACACCATCAACGTCTTGGCTGAGAAGCTTAAAGAGTCCCAGAAAGACCTCTCAATTCCTCTGTCCATCAAGACTAGCAGTGGGGCTGGGAGTCCAGCTGTGGCAGTGCCCACGCACTCGCAGCCCTCACCCACCCCCAGCAATGAGAGCACAGACACAGCCTCTGAGATTGGCAGTGCTTTCAACTCGCCACTGCGCTCGCCCATCCGCTCGGCCAACCCAACACGGCCCTCCAGCCCTGTCACCTCCCACATCTCCAAGGTGCTTTTTGGAGAGGATGACAGCCTGCTGCGTGTTGACTGCATACGCTACAACCGTGCTGTCCGCGACTTGGGTCCTGTCATCAGCACAGGCCTGTTGCACCTGGCTGAGGATGGTGTGCTGAGTCCCCTGGCGCTGACAGGTGGGTCTTGGGCTGGCTCATTGGCCACTTGGTGCACCCAGAAGGGATGAGGGAGGTGGCCAAGTGACCACAAAGTGTCTTGCACTCTGATGGGTGTTCTTGTGCCTTCTTTTCCCAGAGGGTGGTGGGAAGGGTTCCTCACCCTCCATCAGACCAAGCCAAACCAACCAGGGATCCAGGAGCCCAGTGGAGAAGGAGGTGGTGGAAGCCCCGGACAGCAGAGAGAAGACTGGGTTGGTCAGGCCTGGCGAGCCCTTGAGTGGGGAGAAGTACTCACCCAAGGTGGGCCTCCTTTGTGGCTTTCTCTTTTAGTCCTGGCAGAGAGGGCCTGAGCTGCTGCTGCCCAGATGCTGGCTTCTTGATTGGAATTTTGGTGGCTGGAGCCAGGTGCCAGGAAGCCTTTCTGGGCTGGGTGGTGGCAGGGGCCTCAGTAGGCTCCATGGACTCTGGTCATCCTTGCCCCTAGCTGTGTCTTGGTAGTGGGGCTTTGGTGATGGCCAGCCCCATCAGAGGCACAATGCTGGGTTTTGGCAGGAGCTGCTGGCACTGCTGAAGTGTGTGGAGGCTGAAATTGCAAACTATGAGGCCTGCCTCAAGGAAGAGGTGGAGAAGAGGAAGAAATTCAAGGTGGGTGATCTCTCCACCTGCCTGGTCCTGAGCCCCTCCTGACGTCAGCTGGTGGCTGCTATGGGGAGATGGGCTGCAGTGCCCTCAGCCTCTTTCCCTCCCACAGATTGACGACCAGAGAAGGACCCACAACTATGACGAGTTCATCTGCACCTTCATCTCCATGCTGGCTCAGGAAGGTGAGAGGACTCACTGCTGTGTCCTAACTGGCATGCCCTGCTGAGGGCCATGTCCCTCAGGTCCCCCCTCCCTCAGGCCTCTCCTGAGGCTTGAGCAGACTGTGGGGCACAGGGAGGGCCATGAAAGCCTCAGCTCCCAGCCTGAGACAACCAGCCACCTGTTCAAGGGTCTCTGCCTCCCCACAGGCATGCTGGCCAACCTGGTGGAGCAGAACATCTCAGTGCGGCGGCGCCAAGGGGTCAGCATTGGCCGGCTCCACAAGCAGCGGAAGCCTGACCGGCGGAAACGCTCTCGCCCCTACAAGGCCAAGCGCCAGTGAGGACTGCTGGCCCTGACTCTGCAGCCCACTCTTGCCGCATGGCCCTCACCAGGGCCTCCTCCCTGCCCCACTCCCCCTTTTCCCAGTATTACTGAACAGTTCCAGCCAGAGAGCCCAGGCCCTGGGAATGGGAGCCAGGCCACATGCCTGGCATCATGCCCTGGGGCCTGGCAGGGACAGGTGAGCCCCCTAGTGCTCAGGAGGCAGCAGCTGGAGTTGGGGCACAGCAAGGTACTGCGGCTTCTTCCACAGCCGGCTGTGGAGTGGCAGGACCTGGCCCTTCTGCATGGGCAGCAGAATATATATTTTATCTATCAGAGACATCTATTTTTCTGGGCTCTAACCCATCTTGCCACCATGTTGACATAGCCAGCTTCCTGACTCTGCTTTGTGTCCTAGCACATAGCATCCTGGTGGGCCCAGGTCCCTGCATCATGCCAGCGTCACAACTACAGAGTCCCAGCTGGGGGCCTGGGTGGGCATCGGGCCCTGCTGCTCTAGCCTCAGCTGCCAGCCTGTCCCTGTCGTGAGGAAGCCAGGCCTGCTCTCTTCATTTCTCTTGGGAGAGTGCCAAACTCAGGGACCTGACTGCTGGGCTGCATTGGGAGTGGGGTGTCCCAGCAGGGGTGGGATGAGCAGCCTTAGGTCCCTGACCTGAGCAGAGAGGAGTGTTCGAATTGTTTGGTGGCCTGTAAACTGTCCTAGTTCTAGCCAGACTTACTGAGACTGCTCTCCACAGCAAGGTTCTGGGGCTCTTTGCCTTCAGTGTTGTGGCCCTAGCCATGGGCCTGCCTCGGGCTCCTCGTCTCTGTTCCTGGAGCTCGGAGCTCAGAGGAACCTCTGCCCAGCCCCTCAGTATTACCCTGTCTCCCTCCTCTTAGGGATAGCAGAGACAGGGCTGCTTGCAGGAAACTAGCACACTCAGCCCTCCCTGCCAGCTTCCTCAGCCTCTGCAAGGCACTCAGGGTGGGGGACAGCAGGATCAAGACAACTGATTGGAGCCCCTGTGTTCCCAACACTGCCTCTGGAGCTCAGGCCCCAAACAGCCCCATGGCCTCTGCCAGGTGGCTTTGAAGGTGATTCAAGCAAGCCCCTTATCTGTACATAGTGACTGAGGGGCTGGCACGTGTGGTAGCTGCCTCTCTGGGCTGAGCACAGCCTGACCCCTCCAGCCCCTGTAAATACTGGATCAATGAATGAATAAAATTCTCCTAAAAAATGGTTGCTGGCCTGAGGCTAGGATGTGGTGGGAGTAAGGACCTACTAGGCCTCCTGGGCCCGAGGCCCTGTGATTGGCGTGGTGAGAAGTATGCAATCCTGGGCATCCGGCTGGCTTCTGGGCCAGAGATCTCTGGGACCCTAGGCCTAGGATTTAGGACCTGAGCTGAAGAGGGGCTTCAGGTGGGCTCCAGACAAGGTGCACTATTGGGGAGAGGGCCATGGCTTTCATCAGATCTGGTGGCTTTGCTGCCTAGAGGGGTGCTGGGGCTCCGGGTCTGGGAGGCAGGGCTGCCTCTAGTCCTGCCTGGCACGTTCTCCCTGGGAGGGCACATCTCCTCCCTTGTTGCGTTTGGAAAGCTGCTGCCTCTGTCTCTCTATCCCCTGCTGCCTGAATTCCCTGCCGAGGCTGCTGTGGCCCCTCACCCCCACCCTGGCAGTGAGTCCTACAGAGAGGGCCGCACGCAAGCAGTTAAGGCACGGCTGGACTGCTTGGAAAACTCAACTTTAATGGCCCTGACCCATCTGTCTGAGTCTAGTAGTCCAGGGCACAGATGAGGGCCACACCACGCTTTATCCAGTGTCGCTGGGGCTGGTTGCTAGGGATCTCCACAGCAATGACGTAATTGGTGGAGTGTCCTGTGGTTGATAGTGTTCCTGAGACAGGCAAGAAGGGGGAAGATTTAGGTCATGCCCTGTCACAACTAGAGCAGAGACAGGGTAGGGGCAAGGCCAGTGGGGTTGACAGACTAAGCTGAGGACAGGGAGGGGTCCCTCACCTGACTGGTGAGTGGGTCTGGCCAAGGCTCAGGTCTGCCCAGGGTTATTGCACCAGTGATTTGAGGATGGGAATGGAAGAGTTGATGCCACTTTTCATTGCCTGATAGACCCAGCCCAAGCCCATCCCTGCTCTGGGCCTCAGTTACCCCTCTGAATCCCCGATGGTAGGCTGGGGCTCACAGGCTCCCAGGACCCAAGGTGGATCTGCTGGGAGGCAAGTAGGTGATCTGAGCCCTTGGCCATTATCCTGTCTGCTTCTGTCCTGGCCTAAACTTCTGTTGGCCTTCCTGTTCGCCTAATCTATGTCAGTCTAACTGGCTTGGGCTGAGCTGGCCAGGCTGGCTCATTCCTAGGCCCCCACCAGTAGTGTAGGCTCCCCGTCCCGTGCCCATACCAGCACGGGTCAGTGTCTTGTAGATGGGGCACAGGTAGAAGTCTCGGTCCTGGGCCTTGCGGTTGGGCACCGGCAGGAGCCAGATAACAGCCATTTCTGTGTACAGCTCCTTGGGCCGAGATTCAGCCAGCTGGAAGGCCACTGGATCCCAGCGGGCGCCTTCTAGGAACAGTCCATGGATATAGCACCCTACTTCAGGCCTTGTCTTGAACTCTGATGGTGCCTGGGACATCACCTGTCATGGGTACACAGACACACTCAGACACCAACACCCAGAATCTGGGTTAGGATATGGGTCAGGAGGCACAAACTCCCTCCTGAGAGGTGCTGCCTGCCCATCACTTACCCACCATTTCAGCCTGCAGCCTGCAGCTGTGCCCTGCCCTTGTGGGTTTCCCTGGGACTCATGGCCTCTTCTGGCCTGGGTCTTCCCACCCTCCTGCTCAGGGGTGTTCTGACTGCCAGTCAACTGTGGCCTTAGTGCCCCTTCCTGCCTGGGCTGTACCCTAGCCTGTCACCTGACCTGGCCCTTTGTTGTGCCCAGACCTTGAAATCAAAGGAGATGGTGTCGATGGAGATCACAGATTTGCGGGCAAAGTTCTGCAGGGTGCCTGTCAAGAATGCCTGAGGGAAGAAGAAGCCACTGATCCAGAAGACAGCTGGGATGCCACCTTGGATCCAGGCCTGCACAAAGTTCAAGCGTTGCAGCAGGTCCATGACCCATGAGGACAGTGGCTTGAGCGATGGGTAGGCCTTGGCATTCCAGAGCTCGGGCACAGTATTGTTATACAGGCTGGCAGCCATCAGTTCCAGCTGCGAGGACATCACCACCAGCCCCTTGATTGCCTTGAGCAGGTCTTGCAGTGTCTGTGCGATCACTTGCAGCAGCCGGTTGTACCTATGGGGCCGGTGGCAAGGTTAAGTGGGCAGTGGGTTGGGGTTGTGTGGTAGTATCTGCGCTCCCTAGGAAAAACAATGACAGACAGTAGCAGCTAAGAGCATAGAGCTGGATCAGGTGGCCTGGGTACAAATCCCAACTCTGGGCCTTGGCAAATGTGTGAATCTGGACAGGTCACTTAACCTTTTCTGGGCCTCATCCATAAAGTGGGAATAATAAAAACGCGGCTGAGTGAGAGGATGCATGTATAGCACTTGGCATGGTGCCTGGCCCATAGTGACTCCCCTGTTGCCATTTCTCTACAGTCCAGTGGCTGCTGACTCGGGGTGGGATGTGTGGCGGGGACGTTACCTAATGACCTCTTGCACCAGCACTGTGTTCATTGATTCCTCATACAGCACGGGGTACTTGGTCATCACCCGCTGCAAGTTGATAGGCTCAGGTACCTTGAGCAGAATGCTCTGGGCCACTTCCTCTACTATCTGCAGGGGCAAAGGACACTGGGAGTCAGGGCTGGCCCCTCTTCACCCCTGTAGGATTCCACATGCAGAATTCCTTCCACAGGGCTGCAGGCAGCATGGTGGAATGCGGCCCTGCCCAACCCTCGGGCCCCTGCCCCCTGCCACTACCCACCTCCTCCTGGCCCTGGCCACCCACAGAGGACGATTTGGGTTGCAGCTGGATGATGGCACCCAGCAGAGCAAACGTCTCATTCTGGGCGAAGGTGATGTTGGCATTGTCATGCAGGCCGAAGATCTCAGGCATGTCATTGAGTGGGAGGCTCTTGATGTAGGAGAGGTAGCCCTAGGAGGTAGGAGGGCTGTAACTGAAGCCCCTGCCTTGCTCTACTGCAGCCTTCAGAATAACCCTCCAATTGGGCTCATCCCCACTTGTCACGTCCCCCATTTGTCACTCCTGGTTGTAACCCTTTCATATGTCCCTGTTGTTCTTGGGACTCCATGGCCTCTAAGGCACCATGTGGTGCGGCCCTTGCTTCCCTCCCACTCCCCTTTTCACTGCTGTCTACTCCCTGCCTCTCCATTCAGAGGCTCAAACCTGTCATGCTCCCTCCTGCCACAGGCCCTCTGCACTGATGACCCTCCCAATACAGCTCGGGCTCATGACGCTCTCCGCACATGTTCCTCAGGGAGCCCTCCCTGACTGCATAGTCGGCCTGGTTACCATTTTGGAGGTCTGTCCCAACCCTCACTGAATAATTACACTCAGGGAGTGGCTGAGCTGAGTGGGAGTTGGCCTCTCCCCAGAGCCAAACTCCAGGGGGCTGGGACTGACTCCACCTCCCTCACCCTGGCTATCCTTGTGGGATGGATTAATCAATGAGAAGAAGCTACTGGAGGGCAGGGGCCATGTCTCCTCTCACCCAGCACCAAGGTATTCACAGGACCTCAGGACCCCAGTTTGGCAGGCCCCTCCCACGCTGCCCTTGGGGGTGGGCTCACGTTGAGGTCATAGGTGGGTTGGATCTGGTGGTAGACACCCGAGGTGCTGTAGCAGTGCTCAGGGGAGAGTACAGCGGGGTTGTAGAAGTCCTCCAGGATGTTCATGACGCAGCGCCGGTCCCAGTCATCAGTGACACGGCCCCCGTAATTGATCTCACCTGCTGTGTACTTGAGGACCTATGGAGCACGTGGGTGAGGGTCCCCTAAGTGCCGGAGCCCCTGGCTCCCAGCCTGTCTCCGGCCTACCTTGTAGGGGATGTCATCATATTCGTCCAGAAACATCTTGAGCTGGCTGATGCAGATGCGCAGGTCTCCGTCTGTGAACTCGTAGGGGATGTTGAAGCCCAGGGGCCCAAACTTACGGCGCTCCAGTGCGTTCCCATGGAACAGGCACAGAGACAGCAGCAGGGACTTGAACTCCATCACCTGCGGGAGGGGGGGTATGTGAGGGGCGGGGATGGGGGCAGGTAGGGCGGGCATGCACCAAGTCTGCCTCACCTTGTGACAGGAGTTGAGGAAGTCATCACTGAGGCTGCTGTAGGATTTCATCAGGTTGGCCTTGACACCACGTGGTGGCTCGATGGTCATCTTGGAGCCATTCTGCAGGATGGACAC